CTCACTGCATCTGCAGTCCTGCATGTTTTGTGCAATATTAATCCCTCACTGTCATTAAAATGGTGTTAATGCAGCCTGACATGGAGCTGAACGCATTATGACAGAAATATTTAGTTTTGTATCCAGCAAACCATGCTCGGTGCTGCTGAAATGCATGATGTAATCATAATACCCACACAAATAAGATACAAACAAAATGTTAAAGGATGCCTCTTGAGGGCCTCAATTAAAAATTGATGCTTTGCTCTAGTGAGCTCTTGGCTGTATCCACTGAATATTTAATAAACAGCCTGACTTTTCTTTTTACATTGGCACCATTATGTTGCCTTGGGTATATGGGACAGGAAGCCACTCTCCTTTACTTCCTGTCTGATAACGCTGATCTCTGGAAGACCAGGAGGAAACCGCACCAGGAGAAACAGGGGTTAGGAAAAGGGAAGGTAGAGCATCAAATTGACTGCTTGGTGATAAAACAAAAACAGCAGTGTTTGAGAGAACTGGAGAGGAAGCTGTTGAAAAGAATATGTTTACTCTTGTTGTTCAGTTATTCTGGATGATGGGACCTGAAATTCAATTGTCTAATCAAATCAAAATAGATAAAAGACCGAGAAAGAGTGTCTGTATGTATGAGAGAGGATAACAGGAGAGACAGTTTGAGAGAGTAGCAGTAAAAAGACCCAGACTGCATGAAAAACATACAAAGATAGCGCGGCAGCAACGGTGTCACAAGATCCAAGGACTTGTTTTGTCTTTGTGAGAATCAGAGAGAGGAGGAGGAGGAGGGAGCCAGGAGCTACGTGTGTGTGTGAAAGAGAGTGAAAGACAGAGATGAAGTGTGTGCTGCTCTGTATGTCTGTGTGTGTGTGTGTGTGTGTGTGTGTGTGTGTGTGTGTGTGTGTGTGTGTGTGTGACGGAGGGTGGAGGGACTCCAGGGGAAAAGAACCTCGACTCAGCCTCCAAAAATCCCTTTCATGTGTGATTGGGGCTGTGCCTCTGTCTCCTCGTTATCTCCACGCACAGGCCGGGTATCGCTTTCTCTGCGCTGGCTGACTCTGTAACCGACACCAAGTGTCTGCAACACCACTTTGGCCTGCTTTCCTCTTCTTGCTTCCTGCATCTAAACTGATTTGAATAAGGGTGAGAAGCACTGGTGGACTCAAGAGGCAATCGCACCCCTCTAGTGCCCCCATGTTCAGAAAAACGCAGCAAAACTGCCCTCTTGGATGCCCCCATCGTAGATAAAACATAATAAACAGTTAACAGTTCCCTGTGTGTTTTTATTACAGAGGTAATAAAACAGTTTTAATCTTATTCATTTAAGAACTGCCTCACCATAAATGCATCACAAATTTCTGCACGCTGGTGCCCTACTGCATACAGCTAGTGCCCCTTGTATTTCCCCTTTGAGTCCACCACTGGTGAATGGTTCAAATAATGATATGTTCTTGTTCCTGTTTTTGACCTAACACGTCTAAGCATTTGAATATACAGTAATTACCATATATGAAGCCCTACATTTGAATGACTTAAAAGAAGGAGGTGAGGATTAGGTGAGACTTTTTAGAGCGTTTCATAAGGGTTATTTAATCTGATAAACTTGATTATTTACAGCAGCTGCCTATAAATCCCCACCTGCTGTAAAAAACATGTTTGAGCTCAAGTGACCAAACTGGATATTAGCAGTGAAATCATCTGCTGCAGGGGCAGATTTTCTACTTAATTCAAATTCCCTGAAACTGAATTTATATGGTATTATAATGACTGAGGACAAGAAAATCAGTGTCTTAAAACACGAGGCTCTGGTTGTCTAAGCTTGAAATCAAATCATAAAGACTTGAGTTGATGATGTCATTAGATGACAGAGGTCAGTCCTCTGACTGAACGAGTGATGTCTCTGTGACGTAATTCAGTTTTTATTTATTAACCTAGGTGGCCTGATGAAGCACCGTAACTGAAATATCATGCTATAATGAATAATAATCACTGTGATTTTGTGGCTTATTGCTGTGAATCAAATAAGGTACTCATGATTGCTGTTCTGTGTAGCTGTGAGCGCATGTGAAGTTTTTAAGTAAAACTAACAAAAGAAAGAAACAAAATATTCGATCAAGTAGTCATTTGACACTCAAATAAGTTTGTTATTTTTATTTGTACTGTGAAAACAAAATACCTAGTAAAACGCGTATTCTGTAACTTACAAAACTAAATTAGTGTAACTGAAAGTTACTAGAAAAAGCTGCTTCTGCTCAAGAATATTTTTCAACTTACAAAATTGAGTTTTGTGTTTCTTAAAATAACTTATTGTTATTATTATTTATTATTATTATTATTATTATTATTATTATTATTATTAATATCTTATTAAAGTGAGAGCATGCACATCCACTGCCCCTTTCCACAGCTGCTCGCATCCGTATTTAAGTATGAACAAGTACATGTTTTAATATATTTTTGAAGCAAAGGCAAAAATCATAATATAATTTAAACAGAAGGGTCTGAATCTGTGGAACAGAGATATGTTGTATGTTGTATATATAGCATGGGTCATGTTCCAAAAACACTGAATCCGACACTTCCCATAATGCGTCTCAACGCCAGGAATCTTTTCTTAGATCCCCCCCCCAAGCTTGTAAACAATCATTTCTTTTAAACTCCTCAACCCCGTTGTGCAACACAAGCTTTACTTTAAAGACGCTTAGATAACCCCAATGACATCATTATGACATAATTAAGATTATTGACCTCACAAAGCTCCTCCAGGGCCACAGCAAACATTATACAACTACTTTAACAGCTTTTGACATTCCATGATGTGTAAAATCAGGTTTACACATGAACGTGTAACACTGTGTAACTTCATGACTTAAGTGGGACATCAAAAATACAAGTGCCCAACTTTTTATCATCTACAAGTAGATGATGGTGGAAGAGTTTTCAGAAATGTTCATCAGCTGTCACAGAAAATGTCAAAAGCTCTTAACAACACAGTTCCACTGATCCACTGATTATCCCGCAGCTGCTAAGGTATTAATTGAGTTAGTTATTGGGCTGACTTATGCATCAGTGAGGACAGTGATCTGTAAGGCTTTAGCAACAGTCATGCATCTGTATAATCCTGTTAATCGCTCTCAGTCTTTCCAACTCATTGCTTTGTCTCTCCGTCTCTCTTTCTCTTCGTCTTTCTCCCTCGTTCTCTATCCTCCTTTTCGGCGACAATGCGATGTCAGTGGCTTACATAAGCACATGCGTAGACGGAAAGAAACTAAGCCTTTTTAAAGCGAGATGACTGAACCAGAAATTCAAAGACCCCCCCAAAAAAACTAGGAAGATGAAAAGAGAGAAAAAGAAAAGAGAATCTTTAATTCTGATGAAGAAGACACTTGAAAGCATCTGTGTCGTGTGTTTAAAGGCCGAGTTTGGATGAAGCAAATCAATATTTTACCCAGACTCTTCATCCCAGCCGTAAGTCAGAGTATACAGCTTTAGATGTGATGACAAATGAACACAAACAAAGCCAACAACACACAGAAATGGTGTCAGAACATGAAAGGATATTTCCCATGAGCCAAAAAGGATGCATCCCCTTTTTTTATTGGACATAAAAAAAGAGAAATATATGCATATTCACTACAGACCAGATTCAGCAGCCCCTCCCCCACCACAAACATTCTACTGTACACTAACTCAGACACACAGACACTAAAGGCTGCCAAATGTCAACTGAGATCTAGGGCAGTTTCCTCACAGGCATGGCACAGACGCCTATACACAGCCAGATGAGGTCCTGTATCCAGCCGAGCATGTGGTTACCACGGTGACCCTGGTCTCTCTCCATCACCACCAATAAAAACGCTGGAAAGCTGCAGAGGGGGAATTGTCTGGGATGCATTTAGTAGCATGTCATGTGGTATTACCCCAAACACAGTGTCTACTGGTGTGTGTGTGTGTGTGTGTGTGTGTGTGTGTGTGTGTGTGTGTGTGTGTGTGTGTGTGTGTCAGTGTTGGACATTTAAAGGGTTTGAAAGGGCCTTGGAGGTTGTCTGGATGCTCTGGTGTGGTAATAAAACACACACAAAGAGACGAGGGTGTTTAATCTCCTTTTATAGGCTGTTTTTATCTGAGTTTGATTTAGGTTTAGTAGCCATTAACATCAGCACACAGCCCCCAGGGGCTTTATTACACAGGCTCATTGACTGTTAAGTGTGGATGTGTTATAGGTTCTATTTAAATGGACGCATGTGGCCCTTAAGTTACCACATTTACGATGCTTCTCTGTTGTTAGCTATTGCCTGCACAAAATGCTTGACCGTGGAATGAACAGCCGACTGCACCCTGGGAGCTCACCTGGTTGAACTGGTGTCCCCTGTGCCAGGGCTGGGTCCTTGCTGCAGTGGCCATCGGTTCAATTCCGACTTGTTGCCCTTTGCTGTGTTTCATCTCCTTTTTTCTCCCCCTTTCCTGTCTGTTTTGGGCTGGCGAGACAAAATGTGATTTTGGCACGGTGGAGCAGTGTGTGTATTTCACACTTTGGCGTGAGACCAGGTTGGGTGTATATTCAGGGTTTTTAAAAATAGTTGTCATTATTTTGGTCCACCTTTCTCCATTAGCAATTAAATGAATATTTTGGGAAATACAATTCAAAAGGGAACAAAGTCCACTTACCAGGTACTCTAAAGCTCACTAATCAACACATTATATGTAGAGCTATAACTGTTTATATTTATACTGTAATAGATATCAAGACCAAACACTATATTTACTTGAATTTCCCTCGGGATGAATAAAGTATCTATCTATCTATCTATCTATCTATCTATCTATCTATCTATCTATCTATCTATCTATCTATCTATCTATCTATCTATCTATCTATCTATCTATCTATCTATCTATCTATCTATCTATCTATCTATCTATCTATCTATCTATCTATTGCTATATTGTATTTTATCTTGAAGGAAAGCAAGCAGAGAAATGATTGCGTTTCATTTGTTCTCCAGCATCTTGTCACCTGCACCTCCCCCTCTTCTGATTCAGAAGAGAATCAAGCAGGAGTGACGTTATGGAGCACAGAGAGTGGAGCAGTCAGTCAGCTGCTGGAGTGTCCGTATGGGCAGCCAACCTGTCCCGAGAAACACACCAGTAGGGCTGGTGAACATGGTGGGAGCCCTTTTATTAATTTAATGATACTGATGTTTGAAAGTCATTATGTGGAACATGAAAGAAAATCTATATGTTAGCGTCACCTTCTCTATTGTTGTCTGTCCCACAGCTACCAAACAGCACATAAATGAAGATGTTTGTCCTGGTTTCAGTGACGTACATCCACACCTAGAACCTCAAGCCGGAAGTCTCACAGGTTCTCAAAGCTCAGGTTATGGTTGGATATTATTTATTCAGAACAAGTAAACACCCTTAATAAAATGTTATGTTTGTATATGTATGTATTAGGCATATTATACTGAAGGCACCATAGTGCAGCCTTTATTTTGTATCCTAGGGAGGGAATGAATTTGTCTGTTGTCTTTATGTGTATTTCATATTTAGAACCTTTGTTACTTAATTATAATACAAATATTTCAAATATTTTATAATGATTAAAAAACATGAAAACACAGTGTCTCAGATGTTGATGAACTATTTGCTTTTCATGTGTTTCGCTTTCACCAGAAGATATTGTGATATACCTAATGGAATTCTTTAATTAACATGAGCAAATTAGATTATGCTCTAAATTCAAAATTCAATTTACCAATTCACACATCTGCTCTGTCCTCTGCCAGTTACATACAAATTTCATAGACTGACTCTATCCACATAACCTGAATTTAGACTTGAAAGAGCACAAGACAGCAAATTCAGTATATTTTCTATTTAATAAACCACATTGATTTTTTTACTCTACATCATCCACTTTCTTCATTTGCAGCCGCTCTGTCAGCTGTAAATCTTCCTGGGTTTTAATTAAAACGTGTTCACTGCTGTGTCAGTGTGTGTCCCTCAGTTACAATGAAGGAGTGGCGGGTGCTTGACCCCCTGTGACACTGGGATGTGGAGGGAGAAAATAGACAGATTAAAAAGAGGAAATGTAGTAAGAGAAACGGGCTGTGAAGGAGAGAGGGAGAGACAAAGGTGTGAAAATAAAGGCAGAGGAAAGGAAATAGAGAGGAAAGGGGGAGGCAGCGAGCTGGTTGTAGTAAATCTCTCACTGGCAGTGGAGAGTAGAGAGGGCCATGTCCAGATTTATGGCTGCCTGCTGGGGCAATAAGAGAATGGATTGGATCCCTTTCAATCGCCCCATTCACAGTGTTATAGTACCTGCAGCCTATCAGAGCAACCTCGCTGCTGCTATATGATTATCGTCATACTCGTCATGATCTGCTACAATATGCAGACCATTTAATCCAATGTGATTTACAATGAATATACTCTTGTCATATGTAGGTCAGTGGCTCCTGTCTGGTCCCCGCAGACCTGGTTCTGCCAACTGTATTAGATGATTGTCTGCTGCCATGGAGATGAGAGAAATAGAGCTGGCAGAGGTTTTCATTTTTGGTGAGACAGACAAGCAGACAGACAGTTTTCAAGTATGTGCACGTGCAGAGAAGATGCACACTGAGAGGCAGGCAAAACTAACGGCGTAGCTAAACAGTATAATGGCTACAGAGATAACAAGCCCCTTCCTCTTTCCTTCTTCCTGTTGATACCAGACTGTTTCTTTTCCTCACACTGTAAAGCCTCGTGGGCCGAAGCAAAACACAGACAACGCTAGACATGATATTGTGTGGATATCCGCCCTGCCCTGTGTAACTCAAGGGAAAACTCAAAGTTATGATTGAGAATGTAGATATCATTTCCCTAAAGCAGAGTTGGGTTATTTCATATTCACGCTGCTAAAGTGGCTTAAAAACATTGATGCTCCCAGTGCATGTTTGTGCCAGTTCCTAAGAGTGTAAAAGTGAAGAACTAGTAATAAATAAATAAAAAAACATCTAGAATAAATCAAACGCTCCTTACAACTTTAAGTTCTTTTTGCTGTGAATACGTCTGTAAGTTTACTTAAATGATTTAATTAAATGACACGCAGCAAAGGGCAACAGGTCGGATTCACACTGATGGCTGCAGCCTTGGTACGTGGGGGCACCAGCTCTACCAGGTGAGCTATACGGCACCCCCACTGATCTACAGTTGATAACACAAAAAATCATAGCAGATACCAACAGAGGCAAAGAAGACAAGCCAGACTACAAGCTAACAAACATGTACAGTCAACAATGCAAGAATTAGATGATGAATATTCAATATTTTCATTCTTTTATGAGGAAGGAAATGAGTAAGTACATTTATTAGGCCTCAATGATATCAAGGGCACAATTCTGGTGAAAAAACACTGATTGTGAACATAAAAACTCCACAGGGCACCTTCAAGTATTTCAATGCAGGACTTTTACTTGCAGCCTAGTCTGTTTGTTTGTACTGAGCCACTGTTCATCTACTCAAGTATGTGTATCTGTTTGTACATGAAGAATTAATCTTAGTCAATAAACAGTTATGACTTCCAGTTCTTTGGTTTCTAATTTGTTTTCACAGCTCTGTATGATGGCATTACTTTTGTTAGTGCAGAATTATTGGTGAATGGTGAACCACCACAAATGCTACCTCTATCTGGCCCCCTGGTCACTAATAGTCAATTACTTTCCACATGTTTAACACATTACAGAATGATGTAAGGTAAGTCCCACTGGTATTATATCATTACAGTTTGTAATTATGGTTAGGCTCTTGATGGGTGGGAACAAAGCCCCACGTTGACAGTGACCCTCAGGGCGGCCATTGTATGAGCTGACTTCACATGCATTCTATGACGATGTCTGTCTGGTGGTCTAAAAAGTTCTCCCGAAGGGAAATACCGATGTAACATGGTGAATGCACTATTGGTTTCATCAGACTAATCCACCGTCTGTGATGACATTGATACAAGCAGAATGAGTATAATAGCACGGTGTCCAAAAACCTTAGGGCTCCACGTGACAAAATATAACAAAGAGATCATAACAGCCTGTTGGCTACAAATTATGTGGTACACTGACAGAATGAATACGATGATCTACTTGTAAAACAATTCACAAAGCTGTTTTTGCAAAGAAAATCAAACAGAAGACTACGATGTATACAATTATAAGGCAACACAGATAACCAACATACCATTTCTAAGTCATTTTGGAAGCTCGGTCAACTTTCATAGGCTTGCGAGGCTCGTCTATGTTGAAAACACAACCAAATTTTGAAGATGGTTAAAACATAAAAGCAACATACTGTATAGTTCCATCTTAAGTTAGGTAATGTAAGCAAAACGTCTACTAACTAGTTAGCTAACATATATCAATCATTAGCTAGTTAATTAGCTATTGTTTTGCCAACATTAGTTGTGGTTAATGTTTTGAAAGCGTATATTTTAATCCAAACCATGATATTTTTCTAAACCTAACCAAGTAGTTTTGTTGCCTAAACCCAACCAAAGTGTGGCTGAAAATCCGGCTTAACTAGTGAGCTAATGATTCATGTAGTTTAGCTAGCTAGTTAGCTGGTGTTTTGCTAACATTAGGGGGAGTGTGCCTATGTTCCCACAGCCCTATTTTCCCACAGCTTTATGTTCCCACATTTCTTAGATTGTTTTCCAAAATTAGGCCCTATGTTCCCACATTTCCTTTTTCATAAATTTGTATCAGATTTTATCCCCCTTTCTCCCAATTTGGTAGCCAATTACACCCAACCTATTCCCTAACCCTAACCCAATGTTGGAACACAAGACCTAATTTTGAAAATGTCCTAGAAATGTAGGAACATAGGGCTGACCCCACATTGGGATGTTTCTCTCTCTCTCTCTCTCTCTCTCTCTCTCTCTCTCTGTCACCCCAACTGGTCGAGGCAGACGACCACCATAGAGCCGGGGTCTGTCCGAGGTTTCTGCCTCTTAAGGAAGGAAGTTTTTCCTTGCCACCATCGCCAAGGTCTTGCTCATGGTGGTACTGTTGGGTCTCTGTAAATGATTTTATAAGGAGTTCGGTCTAGACCTGCTCTATTTGAAAAGTGTCCTGTGATAACTTCTGTTATGAATTGGCGCTAAACAAATAAAATTGAATTGAATTGAATTGAATTGAATGTGACTATCTAGATGACACTTTTATCATTAAACCATCTTCAAAATGTGGTTGTCTTTTCAACATAGACAAGCCGAGCACATAGCATATCTCAGTACAGGAAAGGAGAACGTTGTCTGGGGTTCTGGCTGAGGCTTGTTCATTTGTTAGTAGACGCCAGAGCAAAAGGTGACCTCCTTCTCTGCAGCCATATGAACATGAAATAGTAGGGTAAACACAGGTGTTACCAATGATACTAATTAAGGTTCTGTTCCATTTAGGTCAAATGGAGTCAGGGTGCTGCTATTGTGCTCACTGGAAAGGCTCTCCTACACTATTTCATGTGAAAATGGCTGCCCAGCGTCATCCAAGCCAATACATCATGTGCAGTCTCGTTTTGGGATTCCTCTCTAAAGAACCAATGGTTTGTGACTCTGTTGACCTTTAGCGGGGCAGTTAAGTTAACACAAGGCCTTGACCCCTCAGACAGCATTCACTATTAGCTATTGCCTGCCGGGGGGCGAGGGAGATATATTGCTCTGCTTGACACCTCCTGTAGCAGGAGGGGGATGAACAAGAGGTGGGGGCTAACAAATGATCGTAATGTAATTTGATATCTAAGTACAAATGTTAGTAAAATTTAAAAGTAAGTATAAGGCAACCACTTTTAGTAAATTTGTTTCTCAAGTCAGTGTTAATCAACAGTGCTCAGATCTGAACAAAATTACACACATTTCATTTTATGAGCAGTAGATAAGATTGTCTTATTTTAATGAGGCTCCTGTGTGCCTTCACTCACACTTTGCTTTCCATAAAGTATTATTCCAGTGCCCTCGGTCAAAAGGTTGGGCATTTTCGTGAGATTGACAGGCTATGATCAGGGTGGGGTGAGAGCCAGCCTTCACTAACTAACTAACTGTCAGGAGTCGTAAACGATCCGGTGGTTCTCTTTATGGCATGGTGCCTTTGCCTGAGGGAGGAGAGAAGAGCAAGGTAATTGCACAACTTGTGTGTATGTGATTTAGAGGGGTGGGGTACAGGCGGGGGTGGAGGGATGTTCTTGGGACTCTGGGTTTATGGATGCTTGTCCTAATCAACCTCCTCCAACAGCTTCACTTTTATGACCTGCCATTTCACCTGCTTTCACGATGCTCTGCTGGTTATTGACCTTCTGCAGGTTGCTCAAGGTTAAATTAGAGCCTAGAACAGGAGTGTGTTCTTCTGATCGTTCTAACAGCAAAGTGCAAGAGGTCAGAAAATGTGTCTCCTGTTCTTACACGGGAAAATAAGTTGGCTTTTTATATAATATTTAACCGTACCTCAAAAGGGATTCAAAACAGGCCTACTAGAGTTTTAAAAACATCTGCATATGATTCAACTGCCTTTTACTACTTGTAGTTTGACATTTTGGGAAAGACACTTATTACGTGTGTGTGCACTAAACATTAAACTGGAGCAAGGAGGTGATTAGCTTAGCTTAGTAGACCTGGCTCACTAAAGTTCATGCTATAAACGCATAATAAGGAGAACTGGAAACCTTGTATATGCAGAAAAAGCCTCCGCAGGTACTTGGGGCCCTTGGGGCTCTTGGGGCCCTTGGCACATGCTTACTAGAGTCTTTCTCCAGCCGAGCTGGTTCAGAGCATACATACAAGACTTCCTGTGGCCAAACTGACTGACAAAATGGCCAAAATGGCTTCACAGCTGAGCTCCGTTCCTGGGGGCTTGATGATAAATGTGCTTACCAGCAGGCTATTAATGACTCAATCACTAGCATAATTTCCAAACTCCTTTGCTTTTGTTCTAATGGTATAACTTTACTATGACAGTTGGTTTTAGTTTATTTCAGTTTCAGTTTAAATTACAGGTAGATTTAGATGCATATAGGTAGCTTGAATAATAATAGCTAAAGCAAGTTACAACCATGGCAACGGCTGAGCATTTAGATTCAGTGGTCGGTAATAGACAAGTTACACTGGTTAATAAGAAATTGTTCCAGCACATAGATTTGAGGCTTTGAAGGTGCTGGTATGTGTACTTTTGAACTCTGGATAAAGCAAGGCTAGCGCTCCTTACTTTCAGTTTTCATGCTAAGCTAAGTTAATCAGTTTCTAGCTCGAGCATCATAGTTAATGCACAGACATGATGGTGGCGTTAATAATCTCATCTAAAAGGGAGAAAAAACATATTTCCCCAAACGTCCTATTCCTTTTTAAAGTATAGCTTTATGTCTATGCAAAAAGCCTGTTCCTATCAGTCATCCAAAAACATCTTGTCTGTTAGCTCATCTCTGGTGATTGTATTTAATCACACTTTAATTCACTTTCTGTGCACCAGGTTCTGTTTTTTTGACGTCTCAGGGGCCTCAGACAGTCAGTGTCCACTGTCTGCTTCTAACCTTTACTAACTATACACTGGTGGTAACATTACACTACAACAACACCAGCCTCAAATCTCATGGGAAGACTAAGTACATATGTACACATACACCAACACACACATGCCTTCAGGGTTTCCTGGGGCGACATGCTGTCAACCCGTCACTCAGGTTATGGCTGACTCTCACTGGTACTGTTATGTTTTGTCCTTTCTCCTAACTTACAGTATCGGTGTGTGTCAGGCTTCAGGTACACAGTTATTGTACTTTTGTTGCTCTTAATGTGTCAGTCTCTATGTTTAAACATCTTTCTCCTCTTTTCCCTGTCTTTACCTCTTTCTGTATCTTGCCCTGTATCTGGGTGTTGTTGCCTCATCACATAGACCCTGAAGCTAAAAACATCCAAAGGGGGAAACGATATGTAATCACTGCCGCTTAAACCTCCTCGGTGTAATGCACTGTATATTTCTGTTTTTCTCTTGTACTTTGTGTGCATCTGAGAGGAGATGGGGGTTGTGCTTCCAGAGGTGAGGTGACAACATGGTTTTCTCACTTTACTCCGGATTAATTAGCCTTGAAGATCAAACAACCAACAGCTAACACACAAAAACCCCATCAACCCTTTCCCCCCAGAAACAATTAAGATGCTCCCAATCTGTCTAGTACTTATTACTTCATGCCATCTGACCAGACTGCCATCAGACACCTTAGCGGGGGTACAAAGGTAACTCCCATGGCAATATTCTCTCCATCTGCTTATCATAGTGGAAGAGGAACATGTTTACTGGAACAGCTTTGTCAGAGGTTTCACAGTAGTGAAGACTAACTAGAGATAGGAGCTGGCAAGTGTGATAAAATGCAGATTAAGATCTGATTCCTCTATTAGAAGCTCCAGTATGCAAATTATATTACAAAGTGTGTACACAATGTGGAAACTTGAAGCCTCCAGTGCACATACACTGAGAATAGACTACAGTGAAGAAGGAGACATCTTGTGTCAGAAAATTAGCATATTCATATTCTGGAATTTATAATGAGGTAGGAGCAGATGTTTTTTTAAGGATTTGAATGTGGAAATGATTCTTTATTTGTGGAAAAACATTAAACATATCAGAAACAGATTGTTCCAAGCAGACTATTTGCATATGTCTTAATATGCGTCTGGAGGGAATCTTTAAGAATGTCTTGAAGCGCTATCAGACTAAAGATGCATTAGAAAGAGCAGGCCGAAGAGCTGATGATGAGAATAAATATAATACCAAAGTGAATATATTTGTGGATTAGCAGCATTCTTCACTATAAAGAATATTAGCCATATCAACTGTACATTGCCTAAGCAAGTATAAAGCCTACACTAGTGTAATCATTTGTTACATAATGAGGTTGTAATAAAAAAAAAGCTATAAACTACTGGCCCTTCACCATCTCTTTTATAAAACATGGACATACTGAAAAGCAGCCATATGCACCCAGGCACACTGGAACGTTTTCCTCTATGATCCCTGGGTCAAGACCTTTGTTCTAACCAGACAATGCTTCTGAGTTCATGTATTTTTGTGTAACCTGGGGATGCACTGCCACCTAGTGGTCAAATCAATGTTAGAAGTGCAGCAAATCCTGATTATCAAAAAGAGGCTATGGAGTATATATATTCCCGCATATTATTTAAAAACAATTACAAGCGTGATTTAAGCCACATGTTATCCAACTTATTTCATTTGAATATGTTTGTCTAAGTGTCATTTTTCATGATCCGTGGTAGAAACCGGATAGGAACCAACATCTGTTGCTTGTTTCCTCAGGTGGAGGCGGACGAGTCGCTGAAGGAGCAAATCAAAATGGCGAGCCAAGAGGAGTCTGTGAGGGAGTTCGTCGCTGTTACTGATGTGGATGAGGAGAGGGCCCGGTTCTTCCTGGAGTCCGCCGGCTGGAATTTGCAGGTGGGTCTTTGAGGCATTGTCCCGTTTAGTTGCGGTGAAGTGTACGACGGGAAATCCAAAGGAAACAGCGGTGACAGGACATGTGTCAGACGGATAGCTCGCCGGGCTAACGTTAGCCTGTGTTGCCGGCAATTTGTGCAAGTCACCCTTTGACAATGGCCCGACCGCTTTCTGTCGCCAACAACAAGGCTGGTGTACACTTAGTTAACGGACATTGTCACTGTTTCAAGAAGGCCCTTCCCTGTTGTTTCATTACAAAAGCGGTTGCCATTAAGTTTTAGCTAACACCTTGTCTGCAGTCAGTCCATTGAGCCGTGCTAGCTAGCGTTAGCGCAAAGCTAGGTTCATGTTTAATCTAACAGTAAACAGCGGTTAGCTTGTACTGCTGCAGAGGCAAGTATTATCGTTAAGTAAGAAAATGAACAGGAACTTTTAAGCCCTGTTTAATGGTGGAGTCTAGCACACAGAGAAAATGAAACTGACTGATGTGGTTACATTGCTCTGTCGACTAGCGCCTGCATGATCACAAAAGAGAAAGACAGATGTGATTTAATGGCTGGGCCTCTGTTCAAATCTGCTGTGGTACATAGATGGAAGCTAGCTCACTTTTACATGAACTACCGATTTAAAGCTGCAGTTGGTAACTTTTATAATAAAATAACTTTTTGTCATATTGTCTGAAACTTTGACTGTATCCTGCCAATATCCCTACATGAGACCGATCATCTGTAAAACAATCAGGGGCCTCTGACTCTTCCGAGCCTGAACGAAAACAACCAATCAGAGCGACAAATGTGTAAAGACACTCTGGGTGGGTTGCTAGAAGAGACTTCATTGTTGAGTCTCAATCCCAGGGTCTGTTTTTGACGCCTGAATGAGACTCAACAATCAATTGTGTGTCTTGGCTCTGATTGGTTGTTTTCATCCAGGCCTGGTGGATTCTTGCAGATGCCATTAAGATTACTAGAACAAGCCAGAAGAGCCTGATTTATTTAATTAAAAAAAAAATGTATTTTATTTACAGATTATCTGTCTCTCGTACTAATGTCAGGATACAATGAAAGAGTCAATAAATACAAAAACGTTTTTTTTATAAGAAATTACCCACTGCGGCTTTAAAGGTCGACAGTAACCATAACAATTGTTAGATCATTAGTCACGTTTGGTAAGTTGTCTGTCAGGATGTTGTTGTGACATTGTTCGACTAATTTTGTCTCCTCCCAGCTTGCACTCGCCAGTTTCTTTGAGGATGGAGCTGATGATGACATAGTGACGCTCCCTCAGCCTGAAGGAGGCTCCTCAGTGTCCCGGTCTGCAGGGCCAAGGTAATACTGCTTTCATTAACACCAGACATTTATTTGTTTGCACACATATGAACTGCTGCTTTGTTGGTGCAAAGTCCAACAGTCCTGGGTCCATACTTGTGTGAAGTAAACTTGAATGTGTTTAAAGGCTAATTGTTCATCATTTATACAATATTGTCACACGCAATCCATTGCATCAAGCCTGTATTTGTCTTTATCATCAGCACTCAGCCCAGAGTGACCTCCTTCAGAGATCTGATGCATGAGGCAGAGGAGGAGAGTGATGAGGAGGAAGGCCAAAGGTAAGTGTGATCCCCAGCTTGGTCTGTTTATCTGTCTTTAGCAAACATTGCATTCACTTTCCTTTTTTCTGCAATGATTGGTTTGATCAGCATCCAGTAGATATTTGTCTGTCTCGAGAGACTCAGGGTTAGATTAGTTATAAAAGATTGTGGGTGTGGTAGGGACTGTGTCATGCTCAAGGACTCTTCAGTGGGATAACGACAAGTTAATAAATATAGTCACTGCTCAGTTGAATGTGTCTTGTGACAATACCCCCTGGAGGTCCCTCTCGTTCTCCTAAATGGCTGTGAAATTATTCAAGACTGTAGACATGGCTGTCTGACTGAGCTGAACATCCTCACAGTGTTTGGAAGGCACAAAGTCACACCTAGTGGGGCGATTCCAGAATGCACCAAACTATTTTTGGTCCCTCTTCATTCACTGTGAGCTGGTTGTGCCTTTCTGCAGCATCCACAGATTCTGCTGCTGGGGCAGTGCAGTGGACTGGTTGTTAAGGGACTGTGGGGGCTTGCTAATGTCCTTTTAGCCCATTTGTATTACAGTCAGTAAGCAGGTTACACCAAAGAACAATTATTGCATTATCTAGAGTCAAACATAATGCCATACATAATTAACTTTTTACCCCAGTTCAGTTTTGCAATGCACACTGGCTTTGATATTTACTTGTTTTTACCTGCTTTTCTGCCCCAAAATGACATCATTTCAGTCATTTATAGGATAAAGCTCACCAAGTCTTTTTTACCTGGTGAAATATCTTTTTAAAGGGCCAATATAACCCATGACATGCCATTTTCCACCTGCCAAGATGTGAATATTATTTCTGTGTCTGACTTCCTGCCAGTGCAATCTGCTCTGTGCTGCTTGAGTCGCAGCTTCCGTAAAAAAATAGACCAGGCACGTATTCTACGTGGAGCAGAGTGGAGAGACGCATCTGGGACACACTGCGGCGCTTCTGACGGAATATTGAGCATTGTGTAGAACGGGCGATCAGCTCCGGCAACCGCTGCGGATACTGGAATGCATTGCAACTGTGTGTCTAGTGGAATTTGGGGGTTTGGGGAAAATAAAAGCACTCCAAGCTGACCAGTGACAGTTCTTATGGTTCCCACACAGTATGTCCATAGCTGCTATAGCCCCATGTGTGGTTACAGGTTTGAGGAGACCCACATCAGCTTTGGTGTAGCTACAGATCTTATGCACATAAATACATGGCCTAAGCCCTTACAAATGAAGTACAAATGAAGTACAAATGTAGTACAAATGATGTTTAAACTTGCTAATAATGTTGAGAATTTTACCTAATAAAGGGACATCTCAGAGCACATCTGTTACGTGGCTTTTGCTCTTTGGAGTGATTACTATACATGCAGTACAGTGATTGTTAGTATTACCACCAGCCAACTGTGAGCTAGGGAGAGGAGATTCTGACTTGACTATAGGCTCCTTTACACTGATCTTGAGCCGCCTCTGAATGATGACAGTTGTCTGAGAAACAGTGAAATCTTTGGTTGTTAATCATTAATGGTTGTCGTAGATCGTACTGTGAGACACGTCCAATGATGGTCCAATTCACCACACCATCAGGCTTTATTATACTAATATTGCACAATGTGACATTCAGTGGACTTTTAGGTTATTTTGTCTTCTGATTCTTGCTATCACACAGTTTATAGGCCTCTCAGCGTGTTGGCTTGTGTGTCTGTTGTTTATCTCACATTGTGGAAGAATTCAGTACCATCTTTATTAACACATGGGCAGGTTTTTTGCGGGAGGATCAGAGCGCAGTGGGCAGCAGATCGTTGGGCCTCCCAAGAAGAAGAGCTCCAATGAAGTGGTGGAGGATTTGTTCAAGGGGGCCAGGGAACATGGAGCTGTGCCTCTGGACCGGACTGGGAGAGGGCCAGGAGAGCCCAGCAAATCCAAGGTAAAGTGAAACTCACCAGACCAATGTCCCTTTTCAGTCTCCTTCTGTATTGTGCCCTTTTTTAAAATTCTCATTTGGATTTTATTGTCCCCTCTCAGCCCTTCCTTGGGGGAGGCTACAGGCTAGGTGCAGCTCCTGAGGAAGAGTCCGCCTATGTGGCTGGAGAGAGGCAATCCTCCAACAGCCATCAAGATGTGAGTACAGACCCTGATGGGTCCTCATGCTTTGCTGCTGTGCAGTTCTTGCTGTGTTTCTGGCATCATTAGCACTAGTCATCCCTCTGGGTGGCTCTTCAGCCAATAGAGAGTAAGTGATCAGTAAATAACTGCTAATTCTTTGAGATCATCACAGTGAGTCAGGACATTTAACTTAAACAGCTGTGTTTTTACAATAGCATTGTTTACTATGACACCTTGTGATAATTCAGATTTGGCACTCGTTCCTTCTGTAAGTTTAACACAGCATCAGTCAGCTTAATAATATGCTGCATAAACTACATACTAATGAAGTGCAAGGCTGTGGCTATTACCTGAAAACACTACGTACCATTACAGAGCACACTAAAAACATCTCACTAGAAAAGATTTGTTCATTTAATGTTACCTGGACTAATTGTAGGTCAGTAGTATCCATATTGAAGAATCACCTCTGTAGTACTGTGTGTGTGTGTGTGTGTGTGTGTGTGTGTGTGTGTGTGTGTTTGTGTGTGTGTGTGTGTTTGTTAGGTCCACGTGGTGCTGAAGCTGTGGAAGACAGGTTTTAGTCTGGATAACGGCGAACTCAGAACTTACAGCGATCCTGGCAATGCCAACTTCCTTGAGGCAATCAGAAGGGGGTGAGATTATTTGACCTGTTTTAAGTCACATAGGTTCATGAGGACACATTATGTCCTTAATGTTTATTTGAAAACATGTATAGACTTTGTCATCTGCTTGAATGGCACACATTAACATTATCGATTGTCACCCCGCAGAGAGATTCCCCTCGAGTTGAGGCAGCGATCTCGAGGGGGGCAGGTGAACCTAGACATGGAGGACCACAGGGACGAGGACTTCAGCAAACCCAAGGTGGCCTTCAAGGCCTTTGGAGGTGAAGGACAGAAGTTGGGAAGGTGAGTCTGATTCGCTCGGATTTCACAGGTTTTTTTTGGAGATTGTTTGCAGCCTAAAATGCCTGATTTCACAGCAACTTTTATATAAAATTGTGATACATGTTTTTTTTACAATGAAAATTGTGAATTGGCCAAAAATAGTTGCGATTATTATAATTTTTTGTATCGTACATTAAAAATTTAATTGTTCCAGTGAGAATTAAATTACACTGTTTGGAGGGTAGATTTGAGACATCACAACTAGAAACATGGAAGTGAGTTTGGTGACGTATGGCAAGGAAACTAAAAGAAAAATGTGTTTTAATAAGCATTGAAATGTTCTGGAAGGACTGGCTGAACAACATTTCTGTTTTATTAAAATATTATAGAGCAAAGACGGCTGAATACAAGCTCTAAACCAGTCTTACTTGTTCTAATGAATCATCTGTGTGTCTGGGTATTTACACACAAATGACTGGTTTCTACTCAGTCATGTGACTCTGTCGAAGCACATTTAAAGGACCAGTGTGTTTGGATTTAGTGGCATCTTGGTGTAATTGCATTCCAGGCGTGTAGGAGAAACTACTGTTACAAACTGGACATCAAATTTGTATTCATTCCAAACATTAAATGTTTAAATAAAATAAAATCTCCTCATCGAACTGTGATTGTGAAGAATTACAGTACACATGGCATTTTAAATACATTACTACTTAAAATCTGGGTTATTTTAAGTGCTGCTAAAATCTACTTAAAGAATAGAGACAACTCTATTCTTGAGATTTAAACGTCAATTTAGGAGCAGAATGGCAGAAATGGAATACAATTTTCAAAGGTGTGTTTTCATTAGTGTATAATCATGTGAAAATAAGACTGGTTGTGTTTTTGTTACCTTAAAATGATTCCGCCATGTTGAACTGCCATGTTTCTAGCCCAGAACAGACACACCAAACACTGGCTCTAGATAGGGCCTAGGGCTGGACTATTATGGCCAAAATAATGATAGTTATTTCACGATTACAAAGCACCTGTGGTGTAAGTTAGTTTAGAGCACACATTTTAAATGTGAATATTGTAGACAGTCCTGTTAATTTAATTATGGGAAGACAAAATTGTGATTGTGATTAATACTGTGATAACTCTACAGCCCTGATAGGGCCTTAACATTGGCTGAGCTGTATTCAACTAGTACTGGTACTACCAGCTTTGCTCTTGTTCTTTGGCCCCATAATGAATGCCAAGCAAGTGGTGCAACACCTTACCAAAACAACTTTTTGACACATTGTCTCAGCTAACATATTTTTTTATCATGACCACAAATATCAAGTCAAACTAACTTCTCATCTTTATCCATCCTTCCCATCTTTATCCATCCTTCCCCTCCTCTCTCCAGTGCTACTCCAGAGTTGACTTCAACTCCTACCACCTCCCAGCAGGACCAGGCTGCCAACGAGGCCCAAGCCAGCGCCTCTGTTGCCCTCGACCCCTCCCAGCCCGTCACTAACATTCAGGTCCGACTGGCTGATGGCGGCAGGCTGGTCCAAAGGTTCAACCATACCCACAGGTGACTGATTAGCTCCTTTTGCCTTGGCATGTACCCAAGTTCAACATCTACACTTGAGTTTCTGCAGGTCTGTTTACCGACCTATTTATGACAGCAGACCTACATATTGTATATTTAGACTGAACCCTGGTGTTGCTCTGTTTCTGGTGAGAGCCCAAGTAGTTCAAATGTTAAAACACAATTTGATTGCAAAAGAAAAAAAAGTATTAAGATTTGACTTTCTTAACTTTTCTTAACCTATGTTTTTACCAGCAGCTCAAGAACACCAAAGCCTTATTTAATAAATATGCCCCATATAATGCTTTTTCTGCTAAATGACGCTCAAATAAAAAAAACTGAAGTGGTCAAGGGTGGCAAAATGCAAGCAGATGGGTTTAAAGTAATAGTTTGGGTATTTTAAAGTGGGGTTGTACCACGTTGGTTTCACTTTTGATGCCTCCTCCACACAAGGCTCACCTGCTTTTATGAAAACGGAATCGAGAATGGAAACATAAGTTGAGTTTTTTTTGGCGACATTATGAAACAAACTCCTAGAGACACAGAGAGAGACAGACAGAGAAACACACACACACAGAGAGAGAAACACACAGAGAGAGAGAGAGAGAGAGAGCGACACATACGCTGCATAAAGTCTAAACGTGTTTCAACAGCAATCAGTCCCCAAGTTGTTAATGTTGTTTGGGTCATAAATGTTTACCACATTTCACCTTGTCCCATACTTCCTCTCATGGCGTTTGCTGTTTTCCCCTTCAGGGTGTCTGACCTGCGGCAGTTTGTGGTGGCGGCCCGGCCCGCCATGGCCGCCAGGGAGTTCATCCTCATGACCACCTTCCCCAACATGGAGCTGTCAGATGAGAGCCAGACACTGCAGCAGGCCAACCTCCTCAACGCCGTTATCGTCCAGCGGCTAAAGTGAAGAGGAGGAGAGAGAGGAAGAGCGACCCCTCCCCTTCCCCCCTACCTCCCTCCCCTGGTGGTGTGGCTGAGCAACTGCAGCCCTGTGAAACCTGCTGCCCCTTCTGAGGGAGGAGAAAACACGGACTTATGTATGGACTTCTAATTTCTGATTTTTGTTTTTCTAAAGTGAAACGTAACATTCTGCTCCCCAGATACCCCCCCCCCACATCTCTCCCTCCCCCCTCTGTGGTCTGTGACGGGCAGTAATGGGGGGGGCGGGGGAGTAAAAATCTTCCAGAATGGAATCGAGTTCATTTAAGAGCTGTTGGAAAGCTTCCAGATGCTGCTGTATTGTGGTTTTGATGGGGATGTGTGTTCCTGACTGCAGTGGATGGTTTAACCCAAAAACACAGCAGCAGTGCAGCTTTTATGACGTCACTAAACCTTCATCTTTTTTTCCATTAACTTGCTCCACACTTTTCCTCTTCTATTAACCTTAATTTGGCCCTTAAGCTCTGTTTACTATCAGGTGCTGGGCCCTTCATGCAACGGCAGACTCCCAGCGTGTTTCTGTCTCAACAGCACAAACCAGAACCACATAAGAAATACTAGTCTCATTAAGATCAAGTACATGTTGATAGTGTGGTTTTGTACGAGTTTCCATTTCTCTCCACATATTCTCTTTGGAGAGAGAAGTGTAATGATGTAACAAAACACTGAGGGTTTTTTCCCCCCTCCAAACCAACCTAAACCAGTAGCCTTACGCTCCTTAATTCACCTCCAGATCTACACCTGTCCCTTTGTTCAAATGAAGATGGAATTATTTTTTTAAACTGCCTTTTTTGTTTTTCCTTTTTCTTCTTTTTTCCTTTACAGATTGTAGGATTGTTCCAGTTAGACAGTGGCATTTTGATATTGTGTAACATGAGAAACAGTTACACATGGCTTTATTATCAAACCAAGGGTCGGACAAAAGAACATATAGATTGTAAACACTGGTTTGTAGTAGTGGAAGTTCCTATGACACTGACATCTTCTATGCATCCTGGGGCGACACAGAAATTGGTTTGGACCTCTGGTAAAATAAATCCATTTTATGGTTGATGTATAAAGAACTTATCGTCTTGTGTTTTTATTCTAGGTGGGAAAAGGGCTTTTTCCCCCAGATGTCTTCAGTAGATCTCCTAACCACATTTTAGAAATGCTGATTTATTTTCTACAGTGGAAACTGGATTCCTTTATCTTGTAGTCCTTTTAAACCAATTCTTATATGTACCTTCAAGACCCATGACATCCAAGTAAGGTAGTGGACACTGCCAACAGGCTGTGTGCAGCAGGTGGCTCTCATACAGAATACTTTATATGTATGTGGTATGTATAAAAACTTAAAAAGAAATTACCTGCAGAATGGTCCTAAGCTTTTGCTATTGTTTGGCTGATCAAATTATTTTTTAAATGTAGCTCATACCAGATTCCTGCGTGAACAGGTCACAGGTCTGAACTGACCCACGTGTGAATAAAAATGGGTTTTGGGTTTAAAAATTCCAATCCCAACCTTTTTGCATGTGGTTTAAAATTTTATTTTGCCTCGTTGTATGATCAGTATTTCTGGGGTCCAAAAACACTACTAAAATTTTAAAAAATAAAAAAAAAAAAAAAAAGAGAAAAACCTCAAAAAACCCCCCCCTAAAAAACCCCCTCCCCCCCAAAAAAAAAAAATTAAAAAAAAATTATAAAAAAATAACAAAAACACCAAAAAAAAAAAAAAAAAAACCAACAAAAAAAAAAAAAAAAATAAAAAAAAAAATTAATTTTTTTTAAAAAAAAATTTTTTTTTTCCCCCCCTTTTTTTTTCCCAAAAAAAAAAAAAAATACTTCACTAAATTAAAATTAAAATAAAATTCCAATAAAAAAAAAAAAGGGTTTTATTTTAAAAAAAAAAAAAAAAAAAAAAAAAAAAAAAATATTCTTAAATATATTGGTCTTATGTTCCAATTATCTAATCTATTGATTAGATAAATGAAGTTAACATTTCTTGTACAAAGTTGCATATTTCAGTCTTGCTTTTAAATGTGTATCTGAGAAATATTTGTATTGATCACGCTGAAACTACAAAACGAAACCAACATGGAACAAATTCCGATTTCCTTCATATCGTTTGTAAACGATGTACATTGAAAATGGATCTTAAATTGCATTCATAACAGTCTTAAAAAGGGCTTTAAAAGTCTTAAATTGAACCTGTTTACACCTGCATTCCCAGAGGCCATGCACACCTTTAGCTGCAATTTAATGTGACGAAAGATAGAAAACATCTAAAAAGTGAATATGTTCCTCTGCTCCCTCAGTTAGAATGTGACTCATAAACATCATTAATAATCTACTCATTTTTAATTTCTCGCCACATTCTAATTGTTCCTGTGGATATTAGAAACTTTGATTGCTTTTGGTTTGTGCAGGACGGAGGATGCAGGTGTTGCTATGGATGCAAATGTGCAGAGTGTGTGAGAGTCTGCTGGGACAGCAGGATGCTACCGACTCAGAGCTGTTCACCTAAATTAGCCCCATCTCTCACTGCCTGCCTGCCTCGCTCGCCCTCTCTTCATTAGTTCTACACTGCAGTGTGTTCTCTACAACAGCCTCAAGTCAACTGCAGGAAGTGCACTGTAATAATCTGTCCTCCTTCTTGAAGGCTGGGTTTTGTATTTTTTTTTATATTTTATGATGATGAACCTGATGTGACAATGAACCAGTGAGATAAGAGTTTGTTATTCAATGGAAAAAACACTCCTCACACACACTTTGCACAGTATCACACTGTACACACTAACCACCAGATGTCAAGTTAGTCATAGATACAAGAAAAACACCAAACTTAATGTGCCTTCAAAATAAAAGCATGTTTTCTCACCTAATTCTCCCATGCCCAGTGCTCCAGAAGTGGCAGCCAGGAGACTGTGCTATGCTAGGTTGTTACATGTTTGTTTATGTTTTTTTCTGTAATTAAGGCCATTACAACAGAGTTAAATGTCCAGTGTGTAACATTTAGGAAAATCTATGGTCAAAAATAGAATATAATATTCATAGGTATGTTTTCATTGGTGTACAATCACCTGAATACAAGAGATTAAGAATTGTATTTCTGTGACCTTAGAATGAGACATTTTTATCTACAGAGGCCGCTGATCGACTTCCATGGAGAATGCCATATCTAACCGCCATGTTTCTACATGTTTTTAATTTTTCGTATGTTTCGGGGCAATCGTAGTTTCTCCTTCAAGCTTGGAAGGGGAGGGTGAAGGCAGGTGCCATATGTAACTACAGCACTAGATGACACTGAATCCTACACACTGTACCTTTAATAAAGTGTCAGTGCTGTTATCAAAATGTAAACATAACAGCCCCCTCTAGAGTTTGGTAGAAAATAACAATAATGGATTCAAAATGCACAAACAAGCATTTAAGAGAAGAACTTCAGCATCATAATAAATTGTCACCTACAAGGAAAATCTTCACCCTCATCATAACGTCGCTTGGTGCAATGCATGGTTATCTCCTTTTGAATTGTGTAGCACAGGTAAAATAAGAGAAATCCATTTTAATATTTAGCATAATTTGTCTCTGCAGTAAGGGCAATTTATTCCCAATGTTGATGTTACGTTCTATTAACCCAGAATTGATTCTCCACTTGCTTTATGACTTCCCCTAATCACTACGGACAGATAGACAAGTTACTCTGGTGGAAGGATTAGAACTAAATCTTAATGTAACATTAACTCTCTCATGTTCTGTTGTGAATCTTACACATCTAATGGGTACATTTGACCCACATAGTCTTCCCCTTATATGAATCCATCAGACTGTCGCCTGAACAGTTGTAACTTATTTATTTTCTGTTTACTTATTGCATATCGGATTTATAAACCCTATCACTATCACATTTGTTTTTATTATTACCTCAAGGGCACCTCAGCAGTGCACAGGAGGTGAAACTGGCACCTCTCCAGCTACCAGTCCACACTCCATAAATGTATACTGAATTTATACTAGTTAATTTATACTAGTGATCTCAAGTATTAAAAAAACAAATGTTTTGGCTGTAACCGATAATTTTGAGTTATGACAACTTCAAATTAAATTATGTTCAACAAATGTACTACATTGAGTTAGGGGAATTAGCATTTCCTCAACAGTAAAGATATTTTTAATAACCACTAACTTAATAAGTTGTAGAATAAAAAAAACTTGATTAGGCTACACTGTAAAACCAGATAAGTTAATTTAACAAAAAAAATTGTTGAAACAAAAATAAGTAATACAAACAAAATGTTTTCTTTGTACTGTGAAAACACCTAGTAAAAGTACTTCACTCAGGAAAGTTTCTGTAACTTAGTGTCACTTAAAATTACTAGTAAAAGCTGCTTCAGCGATAATCTTTTTGAACTTCCACAATTTTGTTTGTATTACTAAAAATAGTGTTAACTGCACGTTTAATGGTTTTATAGAGTGATTTATTTTTAATTCGTGTTATTGTGGACCTCCCTCTCTGTGGCCACTAGGGGCCCTTCTCACCGGCTGAAATCCCTCAGCTGCACGGGTTTTATTTTGGAGGTGGTGGGCGGAAGCGTCGTTGTGTAACGTGAGTAATTGACGCTGGTCTCCCTGCAGAGAGAGAGAGAGAGAGAGAGAGAGAGAGAGAAAGAGAGAGAGAGAGAGCTGAGAACATCCGCCGGAGGAGCAGACAGACAGACTGCGGGAAGAGTGCTGCCGGGTGCTGGGACAGAACACGCCACTAAAATGGGAGTCGAAATCGAGACTATAACCCCGGGCGACGGTAAAGCGGCTGCACGGAAAGGAAACGCGTTTGTGTCGAGCGCACATTTGCACTTCTCTGTTTGCATGTTTATCTAATACAGCCGCAGAAACACCGCCTTAATTGCGTAGTGTGCCCGTTATATTAAGCGCCCCTTTGCTTTCTCTCCACAGGAAGGACTTTCCCCAAAAAAGGACAGACGTGTGTGGTGCATTATGTCGGTGAGTTTGACACCAGAAACTTATTACTCTGCACACTCGTGATGGTGCACATTTAGCTGCTCCACTTGTACTCACGAAGGCCGAACAAGTGGAGTGACTGTGGGCAACTGTCTGTATGAAAAATATCCCATAATGCTGCAAGTACCACAGCAAATACTGTCATTGCTCACAGGGACATTATTGCACAGACACTGGAGCGCTTCTGTAAACGCAGTGGAGCCATGAACTCTGCACACCAGACATTTTTCACCCTCAGACCTCCCAGCCACTGATTTCTCACTAGGGCAAAGAGGCATGCCTGTCAGTCACCGACCGGGCTGCATGAACATGTAACCCCTTCACCGCACTTTCACTCCCTGGAAGCGCATTTGTGTTGTAGATGAGGTGGAGTTGGGAGCGGGAGCGGTGGCGGTGCGTCCCGGGGGCAGCGCACTGCTGGATTCACCGCTGCGTAAAATAATAATGCGCGCTCCAGTCCGGGCCGAGTGGTCCATTCTGGTCTCATCAAGACCCGTGGGTAGTGTGGTCATCTGTCTTGTCTGGAGAGTTAATTTTTTTTAAAAAAAGGAAACGTAGACAGATTCCTCCGTAGGGTTCACTCAGAGGCCCAGACAGACAGACAGACAGACAGAGCAGACAGCGGGGTTTTAAATCCCGTCTGATTTCCAGCGCTTTTCTGTCTTTGTTGGGGAGTTTTTTTTTTTTTTGGGGGGGGGCGTTGAGCGGATTATAACCGTCTGGGCTACTGCAATAGTGGCAGGCTCACTGTAATATACAGTAGTATAGCTAATGATTCTTTTCATTATTGATTCATGTACTGGTTGCCTCGATTAATCAATGAATCATTTGGTGTACAGAGTGTCAGCAAATCAAGAAAAAGCCTGATACGGTTTCCCAGAGCTGAAGTTGACTCCTGTTTTGTCTGTCCAGCAGCCCAGAAGCCAAGATATTCAGCTTATTCCCCTAAAAGACTAGAAAACTGTAAAATATTCACAGTTGAGAAGCTGGAACCAGTGAATTTTTACTTACAAAATTATTTAAATTATTAATCAATCGTCAGAATAGTCACTGATTAAGTTAC